GGATAAAGATTAGATTTAGATTCTTGTTATACAGTCCACGATAGTTACTCTTAAAGGTGACATAAGATTCCTCGTTAAAAGCCTTCTAGTTCAAAAAAAATAAAACTTTTATAACATGGTCCCTATAAGGGCAAGAAGGGGTTAATCAAGAATTTTATACGTTTGCAAAACATGTAGTCTATAAAACGCATAGAAAGGAATATTTGGTCCTAAAGATTTATGATTACTATGATGTGATAGATCTTTTACATTTAGTGTTGCAATGATAAAACATCAATACCTCAACGACGTCAGGAACTATATTAGAGATTTTATTTCATATGGTACTAGTACTTTGATGACAGAGTAGTCCAGTAATAGTGTAAAATTAGCAGTGCCAATCTGAATTTATTGATAGTATGAAAAATGAATTGAAAAGAATTCTTTAATCGAAAACTAAAAATCAATCTGTGAACTGAAAGTTTTTTCTTTGTTCTGTTGTATAGAAAATCGTTTAATAGTGATAAAAGCTTTTGTTCTTAGATAAAGATGCTCGTCGAGGAATATATGCTGTTTTCTCAATCATCTGTCTGTTCTGTCCCAAAATCCAAAGACTATTGTAGCTCGTGATTTTTTGGTTTTATTTTAGAAATCTTTTTTGAAATTTTTTCTTACTCTTACATGTTAAGTAATACTAATCCTTTGATACAAAAGCACAAAAAAAACGACATGGAAAAAACAGAAAAAAACAGTACGAAAAAAAAATGACGAAAAAAAATTCAGCCAAGCTGTTTAAATCTGCACCTTTATATATATCGTAGTATTTCCAATGTACTATGATATCTTTTAAATTCCAGTAAGTTCTACGACAATTCACAAACATGAGTCAACATTTGCATTAAGAACGTTTCCGAACAGTATTCGTTTTTTATCACTGGTCATAAGACTCCATAAGAAAACGATAGATGTTGTAGGCAATGAATTTTACTTTGATATTCTTCAAAAACCAGATCATGTGTTTGATATATAGAAGTTGATATTTGAATGTGCTTTAATTTTGTTTAGAATTGATCCAAAATTAGTGTCAAACAAACGAAAGTGAAAGGCAAGATAATTGGATTTGTAGTATGTTTCTAGACTGATTTAGTTTTGGTCACAACTGATTTTTAGTATTGAGAATGTTTTCTGTCTCTAGTGGCTTCTTCGTGTGTTCTTTTCAGCCAGGATTAGAGGTGGCAGTATTACTATTATTCATGTATTACATTACCGAGGAAAGTAGTACTAAAAGGTATATATTACTGTTACTGGTAACAGTAATCTTTCATGTATTCCTATTACTACTATCGGAATTTTTAAAGAAAGCGCGTGCAAGAAAAGCTTATAACTTTCGAACGGAAAGCCATAGCACCCTGCGGTTTTCAGGGTTCAATAGACGACAGTCGAGGGCACATGCCAACGTGAAAAAGTGATCTTCCTAGGTACTTTTTCAGACCAGATTTAGCCGAACCATCATATTATTTCGTATTGATTGTGGCGCCCCCTATTGAATTTTTTTTCTTGTATTACTTTACTGAAAAGTAATACTAATTTTATGAATATTACTGTTACTGGTAACACTAATACTGCTAGTATTACTGTTACCAGTAACAGTAATATATACAATATTTGTATTACTAGTAGCAGTAATAGTAATATATCACCCCTAGTCAGGATCAGAAGTTTTGTCTTTATGAAATAATTTTTTATGAACCGTGAAAGGATGTTGTCGAATGCAGTAAGCTGGAATGCAGTAAGTAAGTAAAAAATGAATGAGTCTTTTAAGCTGTTTAGATGTGCCATATGTCGCGGGGGAGAGAGGCTTATTAACAACATATCAGAATGTTAATGTTGGTTTGTGGAGATGGTATAACACGGTGTATGATTATTTCGTCACCCATCCATGTGAGTACTATTCTCTTTCCAGTGCAAGAGTTGCGTTTTGGCTGCTAAAATATACTTTCACTGGGTGTACACGTCCGATGAGAGTTTCTTAAAGAACAGTAAGCATTTCATTCAATAGACCAGCTAATCAGCCAGCAATGGAAGCCTTATCTTTCTATTGGGATAAGGAACTGTTGCAGTATGTCTCAGCACTAAAATCTAATTTTCTTCGAATGGTAGTCTAAGGTTTAGGAACTGATTTATCAGACTACCCTAGTGAAACTTCTTGTACCCAAGATCTTGGCCAAGATCTTGGGTTAAGAAATTTCAAGATCTTGAGTGAAGCTACTCAAGATGTTGCAAGAGCTTGAGTGACAAATTTTCTTTACATTTTGTTTTTATTTATCACAGTCGTAGCCATCGAATATACGACCATATAGAGTCATACATTCTTTCTTAAACAACTATGGTCAAGAAGGAAAAAAATTCTAAGTTATTCTAAGTGTGAAAATATTCGCACTTATATTTGCACAAGAATGTAAAACAAAACGATGGTTCAAGAATTTTCAAGATCTTGGTACAAGAAGTCAAAGAAGTTACAAGATGTTCAAGATCTTGACTTCTTGAAATTTCTTGACTTCTTATATTTTCCTACCAGAAAAAATTCAAGAAGTCAAGATCTTGGTTACAAGAAGTTTCACTAGGGTATGCTCATCGTTTCTAAATCTAAGACGATAAAACTGTGTTGATCGGCCTGTTCATTGGTGAAATATCGTAGGAATATTTTGGATTAATCTTGTCGGGCGTTTCGAAAAGTACCGATTCAGGCCGAACATTTGCTAGAAATCGATGAAACTTCTTCTAAATATATCTTTGACTATCATGATGCAAGGCAATTGCGTCTTTTTATATCAATAAAAATGAAAAAACCTGTCCTAAATAGAACGTTGAGACATTCTATAATATATTCACAATAATCTGCCGTAACGAATTACTAAAACGAGTGCCTTTAGCGCACACAGCGCACTCCTCTGCGATAAATGTTACAAAGAAACCAAAATGTAACAAGCCGGAACTACTGAAGGAGCATGTTGCGTTTTAAAAGGTTTTCATAAGTTCTTATTCACAGCCATACTTATGCGTATATCTCAATAATGCGTTGATTACCCTGTTTCTTTTCAGACCATGAAATCAAAAAGAACGTTTAAAGAGATGGTCAGAGAGTAGGTACGCTTGGTATTGTAACAACTTCCGCAGTTGCATAGCTTGCTTGAACCATTATGCACGCTGGTAGTTGTGTGAACAAGCTTGTGGTACGAAATTTTTATCAATAAAATGGCCTGAAAATACGAAGATAAAAGAAATTATACATTTTCGTAATTTCAAAATCCTGTACAGACACCATTTGGGCTTTGCATTATTAAAAAAAAGGATCCGCGTATGATTCTAGTACTAACAGCGCAAAGATGTTAAAGTTCCGGATGTTTCTCGAATAGTCTAGCTTCTATCTCGTCCAACTAAGCAACTCTAAAAAAATATAGATGCCCTTAGATATGAACTAATTCTTACATGTTATACCAATAAATCCACGGGTTTTTCGATCCGTCCATATGTCCACAGTTACAGTTAAATAACTGACATTTTTTAGTTTGGAGTCAATGATTTCTTGAGCATGTTTTAATAATGTTTTAATTAAATTTTGTTAGATATTTTGTTAGATGAGACGGGTTTCCATTTTGATGAACACATAGACATAAATGATTTAAATCCAGCATGTTCAATAAGTGATGATGTTAAATTACACTTCACAATTGAAATGTTAATATTTTCTTGTTTTGACCATTCTTTATCAGTCAAATGAGTAATTTGTTTATCATTTTTCTCATGAGCAAATACTAATTGTTCATTTAGCATTACAAAATAAGAACACGGGTCAACCGAATAAGTATCCCAAGCCCAAGAAATGGATTGCACAACGAAAGCAGTCCTCAATAACTCTATCACGAGACGCAACGAAAGAAAATGCATTCACCACTTTTTGGAATTAATGCATGAGTGATTATGAATGAGTCTCCTTACAAGGTAGCTCTCACGGATGGAATAGCAAAGGGGTCTACCTAAGGGCCGACTCTCAATAGAATGAGTCCACCTATCAGTCGGCTCTTAATAAGTTTCCAATGACAACTACCGCTAGTGTAATGTTGCTTAGGTTCGTTCTTCTTCTTCAGATGATGAGAAATTATGAACAAGTTGTCAGGATTGCCAAATGTGAGCGATGGTCTTACTAAATTGAAGCTAATATTTACGCAGATTGTTGCTGAAATCTGAATCCCCTTCCATTAAAAACTTAAAAAAAGAGTTGAAAACCGGACCACAAACAACGAATGAGCACTTTTCAATGTCTTTTCTTTCAACTGAATGTAAAGACTGCTGCTCTGGCATACAAACTAGAAGCACAATCTTCTAGTTCGCACGCATCTGATTCATCACTGCTGCTGTGAGTTTTGGCACGAGGGCTGTTCTTTTTTAACGTTATGAAGTAATCAAAGATATTTTCGGAGCCGAAAGACAAACAATCGAATAAAAAAGAAAACAAACAACAAAATGAAAAAATGTTCAACAATGAATAAACTGTAGTAAATAACTGACTGCGTTTGAGAAACGTTAAACTTCCACTGTTCTATGTGTATATTCAATAACAAAGATGGAAAAGAGTCATTCTTTTTTATTATTATGTTGTTGAGAATTATCCTACTAACACGGTTTTAGAAAGAAAAGAAAAAACTAAAAACCACAACATCTCGGTTCTTTTTCTTTTTCTTTTTCTTAATTTTGTAGTATAAAAATAACCTAACCACACACTTCGACAAACAGCTCGAATATAAAATCGTACGAAAACATACACGGTCATAGTTCTTTGTGTTTTTTCTTCTTCTTTGGATAATAATAATGTAGAGAGATATCAAACGAAGGCAGATGTATTGTTGCTGTTGTTCATGGAGTTATGTTATTTTACAATTTATCAAGATAATCATCCACGGGCGGGATACCTTCCTTGAGACCTTTTCGTTTTCTGATATCATTAACAATAGTTTTCAATTTTGATTCAGATTCAAATGGATCTTGTGTCATCATTTGCCAATGATCAAACACACACTGAGAGGACGCTTGACAACGCGTATAAGAACAGAGATCAGCAGTGAAACCGAATGATTCATTGACAGGTAGATAAGCTTTAACAATAAACATAGGCGTGCCGGTAACATGATGTTCTTCAAACACATGTCCACGACGACGATTCAACACTTCATAAATACCACCAGCAGCTCTTTCTGGACACTGTACTTCACATAGATAAACTGGTTCATATAATCTTGGTTTAGCTGTTAATATACACGCATACAAAACACGTCTTGCGGTTGGAATAATTTGTCCACCAGTGCAGTGAATAGCATCAGCAAATATTGTGATATCATGAATGTCAAATCGAACACCACGTACATTTTCTTCGGCTAAAGGTCCTTGTTTTGTTGCCCATTGAAAACCAGCCACACAACTATCTTTAATCTCATTCAAATATTGTACTCCTTTAGTACAATCAACAAGAATATTTGGACCAGTTCCTTCTGGACCGAAACACCAGATTTTACGTGCTTCGTTAA